AATGCTTTTGTTCAAATATTAGATTGGCTGATTCTTTTATATAAGCAGAAGTAGGCACATAATCTGTAGGCGAGGATCATTACTAGTAGAATCCAAACTTCTTGTAAGCCACCGTTGAGGCTGACCGTGTCGAAGGACGCAGAAGACTGCAAAGTCTTGCAGCCTTGTGTGCTTTGACACTCATATAACTGGTCTCCTGAGTACTGCACTTTCAGTAGTAGTCTAAACCCATAATACATGAATGATAGGTATTTCATCCACCGCATGAACTTTGGTATATGCTGCAACAAACCCAGCCATAAAGTATAAAAGCTTACATAATCTGTGAGCTTTTTTCTGGGTTCTTAATAGGGTTTTCAACTTCCGTTCTCGCATGAATCCACATCAACATTTTACTGATATTTTCATCGATATTATCGTTCTCGAGAGAACAAAGTTGTGTTTAGAGGAACAACTTGTTTAAGAAGTTCATTTACAATCTAGATTGATTGGTTAAATTTTATTATTTTTCATGCTTGACATGGAAAAGAAGGGATTAGATACCTGTACATAGTAGCCTCCTGTTAAAAGAAATAACATGAGTATCAAGGAGGCAACCATCCCAGCCCTTCTGATACTCAAAACTGCAGCTCCAAACAGTTCTCCTGCCCCCTGATCACATAAAAGGAAGATGTTAAGTCTATCTAATCTCCCCTGTTCACAAATCATTCATGAACAAGACAATGTTGTAATAGTTTCAAACACCTGGCTTGTCACAGCTACCAATAGTATTGCAAACAATGTTAGCAAGAAACATGAAACTGTTCTCTTGAAATCAACCATGAAGTATAGAATGAGCATGAACAGTGTTGGATAGAGCACATGTGCAATCATGTCACAGAGCGTGCTGCTCACGTAGTACACGCTTAGTCGATACATATCTGCTTTCTGTTCTTTCACTAGATAGAGCTTTTCAAATGGGAACACATACACCGCTCCAAAGATTGATGAAGATGTCCAAAATATGCAAATGTAGAACAATAAGCCAATCTGAAAACAAGTTCAAAGTTGTACGATTAAGCTTTTGGATTTAGTGGTAGTTTACTGATATTGTGTTGAATGGTGTAAAAAACCGAAACAACGACCTGATCTCGCAACTGAGGTTCAGTGTCGATCTTGGATTTCCACCAAAGAAGTCCTAACAACAGTGCAACTCCAACAGCTTGAAGTAGCCTTAGCTTATCAAAGTAATCCTTACTCCTTTCTTTGAATGTTCTCTTTGCAACAATCCTAAATTGCTCCCACCAGCTTATTGTCCAATCCTTCCCAACTTGTACAGCTTGTTGTAGATGTTCTGGTGCCTTTGCAGCTTCATTCTTTGTTCTTTCTTGAACCTCCAACTGAGTTTTGTACTTGACTTGCAGATACTATTCACACATATCAAGAAAAATGGATGAAAAAACAAATCCTTTGGAAGTAATATGACAATATCTAAAGAGATACCCACCTTGATAATTGATTTGCCTGTGTCGAGCGAGCCTTGAGATGCCGATAGATCGTCGGGAAGACTTATATCGCCGACTTGTCCCGTTGCTAGATCAAGCAAGAACTCTGCAGGGTTCATGGAAATTTGTGGTGTAAATCTCAAAGATGAGAAGTATTCCATTGATTCTATAGCTTTCCCATAGTATACAGGATATCCTTCTGATATCAGCAAGAGTTTGTCAAACATGTGAAACATTCTGCTTGATGGCTGGTGTATGGTAGTGATTATTGTCCGTCCGGCCTGTGGAGTTTCATGTTTAATCTCAAGATATAACCATATTTGTACTTCAAAATTTCCTAATGGTACCTTGGCAAGTCCTTTGAGAACAAGAAGAAGCTTATTTGCCGAGTTCGAGTCAAGGCCAGAAGTCGGTTCGTCGAGTAATAAAAGTGAAGGATCGATAAGAACTTCATAGCCTATGCTTGTTCTCTTTCTTTCTCCTCCTGATATTCCTTTACCAAAATTACCACCAATCTTTGTGTTGCGACATCTGCAAGAAAACCATCATTTAAAAGAGTTAAAATTGAAGAATGGAACCTCACTAGCTACCATAACACACACACACACCTTTCAAGTCCTAGCTCCTTCACTATCATGTTGACTCTCTCGTACTTTTGCTGTCGGTTCATACTGTTCGGTAGCCGAAGAAACGCAGAGACGAGTAAGGTTTCTTCGACTGTCAATTGTGGGAACAACACGTCGTCTTGAGTCACAAAGCCAATCCTGTTACCAAAGAGTGGCTAAGAGGTTAGGACTTAGAACAACATTAGGCACTTGTTTGCTTCATAAACAGAGAAAGTGACCTTCTTTTAAGGGCAGTAGTGTATGTAATGTCATTATATGTAATATTTCCTTTGACATTTTCAAGTAATCTTCCTCCAATCACTTTCAATAACGTTGTTTTTCCACTGCCTGAAGCGCCCATCAAAGCAAGTATTTCCCCTGGCCCAACCCTTCCTGTTATTCCCTTTAGGATCCTCTTGTAGCTGTCTTGCTCCATCCTGCCTTGTGAGCCAACCCTTGATATCACTGCCTTCAATGGATTGTTCTTGGTGGAGCCTTGCTTGTTCTTCACTTTGTATTCCACATCTTCAAACTGCAAGACACGTTTCAAGTTCATAAACCAAAATGAAAAAAAGTAGTAAGAGAGTTTAAGGTTATCGTTAGGATCGATATTGTTTACTCGAACTGTGAGAAATCCGTCTAGACGAAATCTTTACCTTGAGAAAAATCGGAACATCTTCAAACTGCAAGTCAAGATATATGAAACAATACGTTCGAAAGTTTATAGACCAAAATGAAGAAAGTAGTATGAAAGTTTAAGGTTATCGTCACAAGATCCTACAACAAAGAACGACATTGTTTACTCAGGCGGTGGGAAACTTGTCTAGATGAGATCTTTACTTTGAAAACAAAGAAAAATGGTATATCTTCAAACTGTAAGTGAAGATATATGAAACAAACACGTTCGAAAGTTCATAAACCAAAATGAAGAAAGTAGTATGAAAACTTAGGGTTATCGTCACGAGAACCTAAAGCAAAGAACGACATTGTTTATGAGAGGCCCGTCTAGACGAAATCTTTACCTTGAAAAAAAACGAAACATCTTTAAACTGCAAATGAAGATATATGAAACAACGCGTTGAAAAGTTCATAAACCAAAACGAAGAAAGTAGGACGAAAACTTAAGGTTATCATCACGAGATCATAAAACAAAGAACAACATTGTTTATGAGAAACCAGTCTAGACGAAATCTCTACCTTGAGTAAAATCAAAATACCTTCAAACGGCAAGTAAAGATATATGAAACAACAACAGGTTCGAAAGCTCATAAACTAAAACGAAGAAAGTAGCATGAAAACTTAAGGTTATCGTCACGAGATCCTAAAACAAAGAACGACATTATTTAGTCAAAGAGTGAGAAACCCGCGTAGACAAAATCTTTACCTTGAGAAAAATCGGAAGCGGAGAACTCCGATTGGTATCACAAGTCTCAATTTGAATGTTAACCTCAGAGCGGATGTTTTTGGATGTAATTTGCATGGGTGAGGGAATGTCCTGAATTTCATCCTCTCTCCTAATTTCCATGTTGTTTAGAGAGAGAAAGAGAGGGAGAGGATTAAGAAGAGAAGAGTGTTTTGGAATGTGAAATAAGTATGGAATTAATAATGGGAGAGGTTTTTCAACTGTATCAGACCCAAAACTTGCCTACACATCAATGGCAGGATGCTGCTTGGTGACCCACAGCCTTCCCATGCTTATATTTTACTACTGTTTTGCTTCTATTTTACACACATAAAGTGCCATCATATTCAGGATTTTTCTAACTCTCCATGCCAACCCTATGAACTTTCTCGATCTAAATTTCGAACTACTCGGTAACTATTTCACTTCGTATGTTACCTATGAGTTTAACAAATGATTTCAAAATTCGACCAAAGCTACGGAAATTAGAAAAAGTATTCCTAAAAAACTTGTTTGCTTCCGAAATTTAACTATGAATGCCAAGATTTCATATAGTTTACAGAGAACGCCTAAAACGAACATTTCATATATGAAGTTGTTGACAACGGGAGACATAAAAAAGAGTGTTTCACCTTGAATAGGAAAATGTTCGATCTAGATAAATATAATAGATGAACTTCGTTTTGGTTTATGACATACATGGATCAATTACTCGTTAGGCTGACTTTATGAATGGTCTAACTATTTCTTATTTCTTTTCAAATTATTTATCACACTATATAAATTAAAATCTATTTTAATTTAAACCATTTTCAAATTTACTAAAATCTTGTTTAAAAAAAGTTTTTAACTCTTTTTTTTAACTTTTATTTATGACGGTCGAGATTGTTAATGTTATTTTTGAAATTTTATAGGTATTTTTTAAACATATACCATATTAGGTTGAATGACACTAACATATATGGGTCACGATGTATTTATAGATGTGTGTAATGAAGATTACATTGTAACAAACATGAAATCATAGATTTGGTAACAAAATCAAGAAATTACAGAAGATTTTTCTTGATTCATGGTAATAAACAAGTAAGATTATCTCACTAATACGATCTATTCCACGTACTCATTTGAACATTTTTAAAAAATTGGATGGTATTAGTGGAACGGATATATTTTTAAATTTTTTAATTAATTTAACCTATTGGGTAATTGTTTAGAATTTTTATTATTATTATTAATTTAGCCTCCAAAATTATTTGGTTCTTGTGTAACGAATCCATTTTCCCCGTCAGAAGTCTGAAGCGAAAAGGAAAACCGTAGAAATACGAACAGCGGCAATGGAGGAATCTCAGGAAATCCTACTGAATTCCCTCCAAAAATCGGGTGTTTCAGTCCCTCCAGATGTTTCCTCGATTCGGAACTTAACTCCTCCGCTCTTGTTCTCGATCTGTGCTCAAGTTTTGAATCGAATACATGGCCAAACTCAAATCCCCTACGCCACTTCTCTGCCGGACTCCGTCGCCGATCAGTTCAAGATATGTACTGAAATCGCTTCCGCTATTAAGGATCTGGGTTACATAGGAGATATGAGCTTCCACAAGGTATGTCCCCTTTTCTGTCTGCTTGAATTTCGGAAAATTTTGGGCGATTGCGAGAAATCTGTTTGCTTTTATACGAATATACTGATTCTGTTGTTGTTTCTATTTGGTTCATTTATGAATTTACTCGATTTTTGTAGACATGCATTGTGATCGTTCTGTTTCTATTAATGGTGATCAAAGTATACCCTAAAGTTTATGAGTACTGGAAACTTTTCAATGTCTAGGAACTAAATAGGATGTGTTCAAAAGGAGAGTCACAAATTTATAATCTGACGTTTGTATTTCTTTTGATCACTTAACTTCTTGGACATTAGCAAAAGCTAAGGCATTTGTTTTGGATATCCATTTGCTGTTGTACTTAGAAACAGACTACATGTGTTGCTTACAACAGTTCTTGTATCCATCTGAAGAGGACTTGTATAAGTTGATAAGATTCTTGGTGGAGAGACTTCCTGAAGTTTCTGATGGAAAAACCAAGGTTTTGGAAGATGTTGATGGTAGAAAAGAAACGAAAACTGACACTCTCAAATGCCACTATGTGTCGGGCCAATCAGACGATATCGACACTGATGATTCCGTTTTTACCCATCAGAAGGTCGAGAACAAACTTTCCGATCTTAATATTATTGCTGAAGAGACAAAATCTTCAGACTCCATTGTCGGTCGATTCTCTGATTCCGGTGAAGCAGCTATGGTTGATAACCTTGTTAATGCTCCCAAAGATCAGTCTGAGGTTTCAGGAAACGAATCAGTTGCAGTGCAGGGGAATAATGGACAAGTATCAATTTCCAGACATGAAGTTAGTTCTTACATTCAAAAGAATGATGAAGTAAGTTCTTCTTATGGCTTCTAACTTCAAACAATTATTAAAATCTGTTGTGTATAAGAGAAAAGAATGAAATGGTCAGCCCCTTGGGAAAAGGTTATTTGATTAGATGATATAAAGAATATTGTATATCTTCTATTCTTGTTTTAAATGAGAATTGAGGCTGAGAAATTTCAGGATCAAGAGATCAGACCATTGGAAGAGGTCAGTACAAAGGCTTCTGAATTAGAGCATCTTCATGTCGAGTTAGAAAGGTTGAAGGCAGCGACCGGAATTGTATTTGATGATAATCGTTTGATTGAAGTTCATCTTCAGGAACTGGAGGAGCAAATCAGTTCTAGAAAGCTGAATCTTCTTGCAGCGAAGTCGGGGTGGTGGGTCATCGTTTTAGTTTGATATCTGGATTAATTTTTATACTGCTTCTTCATTTTGAACTTAAAAACCCAAATTCAAAGAGTAGTCAAGTCCTAATACAAAGATATAGATCTCGTTTACTTTTTCTTTATCATTGAACTCTACAGGGCTGCAGAGAAGGAGCTTTTAGAAAATAAAAGGCGAAATCTTCAAGAATCACTATGTGCAAGTAATCCGAAGGCTCAAGAAAAGCTGCAAAAATTGAGAGAGTTTGAATTGGAAAAGCAGCTCATCGAGTCAGAAATCAGTAGGCGGTATGCTACTTCTCTGAATAGGAAGTGAATATGAATCCTTACTGAAATCTCTGAAATATTCTCAGTATATCTTAGTTATATTTTTCAAAATGAAACTATTGTCACAGGAAACTGATGCATTAGATGCGAAGTAATTTAGAGATACCCTCCATAGTCTTAGGTTTAGAATGAATTTTGGATTACTTTTGTAGGGTGAAAAATGCTTTCAGCTCATCAAAATCACTTTCCAAAATTTTGTAAAATTTTGTTGAACACAACTCGGTGTGAGAATCATTCGCACTCTTTATTAACACCAATTGAGAAGAGATTAGAAGACACTCTATAGAAACTACTTCCACTATGTGCTTTGAATTTCTTTTGATGAAGACGTTGGTAGGGTGGAGGAGTATTTATAGTAGAGAGTAGACAATTTATTCCTAAAATATCTAAAAATTTATTCCTAAAATTTATTCCGCAGCATTAGTTCTCATTCGCTGCACCATGTTGAGCTGACAGCGAAAGCTCTCATGTTTGCCAGTATTCAGTCCTTTTGTAAACAAGTCTTGCCCACTATTTTGTTACACGAACATAAGTGCTCTTAAAAATTGTAATAGTCCTTGAAAGCACTTAGTATCTCAAAGTACTTAATTGGTTTCTGTTCCAAAACTGCATACAGAAGAAGTTTTCCAATTAAACTTTTTTATAAAAAATCATCCGGAACTTACTATCAATTATCAATACCTTGGTTACATCTTAATCATTTGTGGTTTCTTGAGAAAGCTAGGTTTTGAAAAATCATTATCAACCTGTCTTTATATAAAGTGATAGCATAATTAGATCTTTTCCTTTTGGGGTGGGTGGGTTTGTCATATTAAATTTGATGTTACTGTATCAAAGAGTAATCTGTACTTTTGTGGAGAGTTTATGGGGATCTATTGCGTGTTATGTTAGCATTTATACTCAAAAGTCACTTCCCTGTTTCTCTTGTAGTCTTGACACCTTTCATCATTTTACTTTTTGGGTGGGTTGGGCAACTCGAAGAAAATTTCCTAAACATGATATGCAACACAAAAATTTATACAGTGGGGCGTCCTGTTGGCTTGTTATTATCTCTTGCTTGTGTCATACGATATTGATTTTTCCTCAAATATTGTTACACATTCTTCAGGGAGGAAGAAAATTATAATCTCTCAACAGAGCTTAAGAAGCAGCCAAAACAGGCATCGAGACGATCCTACATCGATAGGGTGAAAGAGATCACAAAAAATAGTCGGAAACAAGATACTGACATCGACCGAATCCTTAAAGAAACTAGAGAGCTTCAGCTAGAAAGTAACAATATTCAAGAACGCCTCCATAGAACCTACGCAATTGTGGATGAGCTAGTTCTCAGGTATGCACCATCGAACAAGTGAGAACTGAAACAGAACTATTACATCATTGCTTTAAGTGGCCTTAATTAGTTGTTTGACAATGATGTAGTAATAACGACCCGTTTCTCGTCCCTTATTTATGTTTCATACTCGACCGAAAAAAATCCACCTTTTATCATGCTTAGAAAACTAGCTGAAACTAATTCATATCCTGTGTAGGGAAGCAAAAAAAGAAGGCATAGGCAAGAAAGCACACAAACTTCTGACTAGTATCCATGAGAATTTCGGAGAGATCTCGAACAAAATCCTGTCTACGGATAGATTAAGAAGAGAAACTGCAGAATACGAGAAGAAGATAGCGGCCTCGGCATCTCGAAGTTTAGATTTTAACAAACTACAAGCTGATCTGGATGCTATCAGGAGGGAAAATAGTTGCCTAGAGCAAAATCTCTGCCATAAAAAACCCATTGACCAAATGTAGAATGTTTTCTGGATTTCTTTTGTTTAGTGTAAATCAATCATGCTTATTGCAACAATTACATTCTAGTGCAAAGGAGAAACAATTCAGATCAAATGACATCATCTGCTATTACTTAAATGGGTTCTTTTCATTAATTAGTTGGATTGTGATGCCTTATGCAACAAGCTTCTGTCTTTTGGCCATTAATTGTGGATTCAGTTGTGTATTGAAATAGAAGATTCATCATCATTCTTAAGGTTGGGTGTTCCTTGCTTTTCAAGTTACTTACCCAATTGGAACTTTGGTGGTTAAGCAGTCCTATGTCTCAGCCCTTAACATTTTGATACATCTCTTCTTCTTCCACCAGAAGAATTCTTCAAGGAAGCCATTCTTAGAAAGAAAAAAAAAAAAACATACATATGTAACCGTCTAAGTCTACCACTAGTAGGTATTGTCTTCTTAGAGCCAAATACCGAGCGATGTGTCAGCGAGGAGGCTGAGCTCCGAAGGGGATGGACATGAGCCGGTGTGCTAGCAAGGACGCTGGGCCTCGAAAGTGGGTGGATTGGGGGGTCTCACATTGATTGGAGAAGGGAACAAGTGTCAGCAAGGATGCTGGGGGGAATTGTGAGACCTTACCTCGGTTGGGGAGGAGAACGAAACGTTTTTTATAAGGGTGTGGAAACCTCTAGTTAGTAGACGCGTTTAAAAAACCTTGAGAGAAAGCACGAAAGGGAATGTCCAAAGTGGACAATATCTACTAATAATGAGCTCGAGCTATTACATGAGTCTTTGTTAATATATGTAATAAATATATTGCATCGTCATTATTTTAATGTAATAAATATGAAGTAGGAAGACTTGAAGATTGACCGTCCATTCATATTAGGCAATATTAGGCAATGGGTTGCCATAATAACAATAGTTTTAGACATTAATGAGAAGCAAGTGGTTAGTGTGTTTAGGACATTGACCTTTTCTACCTTGCATAGAATTCATGAAACCTTAACTTCTCCGTAAACAGCCAGTGTCGGTTTCAGATTTTATGCCCACACATGGACGTCTCAAAACCTGCCATGTGGCATCTACCATAGGACCCCACCACCACAAATCCACATAATCAAAATCATCTTTAAAAACACACAACCAAATCAATGCATTCCTTTCTTGTTTGTTTTGATTGTTGGGTAAATTTCCCCAATCATCTTTGAACATTGTTTCCTTTAAGCTTCTCCCTTTCTTCCCCAATGATTTTCTCTCACCATTTCTCCCCATCTTCCATTACCAGAGATTATCATCGCCATTGTTGCTGCTCCATTTCTTCCTTCCCTTTGTGATTTCAATATAGATATCTATTTGGACAGAAATGGGGCTTCTTGATTCTTTGTTGGATAGAGATTCAAGAAAGTTTATCAAACGAAAAGACAGCGATGCAGGAGAAGCTGGTAGGTTTTTTCAATCCTGTTTGGTTTATTTTCTTTTCCATTCAAAGGATTCGTTTGATTCTCTGTTTATTTCTGTGATTTCTGGCATCTGGGGTTGTTTTTTTTTTTCCTGTTCTTGATCAATCGTTAAATTTTGGATCCCAGAGACAATTTGAAGATGTATATAAACCCAAATCATAGCTAGAGTGTGATAACCTGCATCGGTTGGGTTGGGGAGGACCAAACATTCTTTATAAAGGTGTAGAAACCTCTTCCTAGCATACGCGTTTTAAAAACTTTGAGGGAACTCAAAGAGGACAATGTATGCTAGCAGTGGGCTTTGACCGTTACCAATGGTATCAGAGCCAGACACTAGGCGATGTGCTAGCGAGGAGGCTGAGCCCCGAAGGGGGTGAACACGAGGCGGCGTGCCAGCAAAGACACTGGGTCCCAAAGGGAGGATGGGGGGTCCTGCATCGATGGGAGAAGGGAACGAATGCTAGCGAGGACGCTGGACGCTGAAAGGGGGTGGATTGTGAGATCCCACATCGGTTGGAGAGGACGAAACATTCTTTATAAGAGTGTGGAAACCTCTCTCTAGCGTAGGAAGCTCGAAAGTGAAAGCTCAAAGAGGACAATATCTGCTAGCGCTGTACTTTGGCTATTACAAATGGTATCAGAGCCAGACACCGAGCAATATGCTAGTAAGGAGGCTGAACCCCAAAGGGGGTGAACACGAGACGGTGTGCCAGCAAGGACGCTGGATCCCAAAGGGGTGGATTGGAGAGTCCCACGTCGATGGGAGAAGGAAACAAGTGCCAGCTATGACGCTAGACGCTGAAGGGGGGTGGATTTTGAGATCCCACATCGGTTGGGGAGAACGAAACATTCTTTCCACACTCTAGCAGACACGTTTTAAAAACCTTGAGAGGGAAATTCCGAAAGGAAAAGCCCAAAGAAGACAATATTCGCTAGTTTCTACATTGATGGGTTTGGATTTGAGGAATTCATGATGCTTATTGATTTTGTTTTTGTATCTTATTGTTGATATCTATTGAATTCTTCTAAGGTCCGCAGATTCTTATATTGAATGTACTAAAAATATGAGATTGTTGCCTGTTTCCTATTGATCATTGGTCTTGTTATCCATGTTTTATGTACAGAACCTCTCATATTCTATAAATCCGCAGGCCGAGCGCTCGAAGAAATTAGAGGTTCTCTCTATAATGAACTTCGAACTTCAGACGGGGCGAAACGCCAACAGCAACGATACTGCGGTCCGGTCGTGGCGATGACATTCAATTTCATGGTTGCTGTTGGAATCATAATGGCAAACAAATTAGTAAGCAATGTTACATATGATGAGCTGAAAGTGTTCATATGTTCTTTATGCTCATTTTCAGCTGTGTTTTGGTGTTTTGTAGGTTATGGGAAGAGTTGGATTTAACTTCCCAATATTCCTTACATTAATCCATTATACCGTTGCTTGGTTTCTACTAGCAATTTTCAAGGCACTTTCATTGCTTCCTGTTTCTCCTCCTAGCAAAACCACTCCCTTTTCTTCCATTTTCTCCTTAGGTGTTGTCATGGCTTTTGCTTCAGGTCTTGCCAATACCAGTCTCAAGCACAACAGGTATCCCGCTCGGTTTCCCTTTTCTTTTCCTTAACGCGCGTCGGTCGGGGAGGGGATAGGGTCGGAGACGGGGTCGGGGACGAGGGCGTTATCTTGTTATCTTACTTTGAATTATACGCGCAGTGTCGGATTCTATCAGATGGCTAAGATTGCAGTAACTCCCACAATTGTTTTCTCAGAGTTCATACTTTTCAAGAAGACCATTTCATTCAAAAAGGTTCCAAAACAATGACACTTCTACTTCCTTTGTTGTTAGTTATGATAATGTGTTTTCAGACACAGACATGTTTTGTGTAGGTTTTGGCTTTGTCTGTTGTCTCTGTTGGCGTGGCGATCGCGACGGTAACGGATTTAGAGTTCAACCTGTTCGGCGCTTTGGTTGCGATTTCTTGGATAATCCCGAGTGCTATAAACAAGATTTTGTGGTCGAATCTGCAGCAGCAAGCGAGTTGGACGGCGTTAGCGTAAGCTCTTGTTACTTTGCATGAATTTGATTTAACCATTGAGGAACCAATGCAGTAAACTTGTGGTGTGTTAGGTTGATGTGGAAAACTACTCCAATTACAATATTTTTCTTACTTGCTCTCATGCCTTGGCTGGATCCACCAGGAGTTCTGTCTTTTAGATGGGATCTCAGTAGTTCAACTGCTATTTTGATATCAGCTCTGCTTGGTTTTCTCTTGCAATGGTCTGGAGCTTTGGCACTAGGGTGAGACTAAACCCCTCATAACATTACTTTTTCCCTTGTCTTTTTCGTGTTGTTCTTTTCGTAGTGGTTGAACTCGATCGTTGCGTCTGTTTAGCTCTTGAACTCGTAAAAGTTGAAAAACCTGTTGATTCTGGTGGGATGTCATGTCAACTAGCTAGAAGGGTATCAGATCAGTCTGAGTGTGAGATCCCACATTAGTTGGAGAAGGGAACGAAGCATTACTTATGATGATGTGGAAACCTCTCTCTAGAGTGCTTGAACTCGATCGTTGCATCTGTTTAGCTCTTGAACTCGTAAAAGTTGAAAAACCTGTTGATTCTGGTGGGATGTCACATCAACTAGCTAGAAGGGCATCAGATCAGATCAGTCTAAGTGTGAGATCCCACATCAGTTGGAGAGGGAAACGAAGCATTCCTTACAAGGGTGTGGAAACTTCTCCGTAGAGCATCTGACATCATTATATCTGTTTAGCTCTTAACCTTGTAAAAGTTGAAAAACCTGTTGATTCTGGTGGGATGTCACATCAACTAGCTAGATGGGCATTGATAAGTTTGAGTGTGAGGTCCCACATCAGTTAGAGAGGGGAATGAAGCGTTCCTTATAAGGGTGTGGAAACTTCTTCGTAGAGCACTTGAACTCGATCGTTACGTCTGTTTAGCTCTTAAACTCGTAAAAGTTGAAAAACATGTTGATTCTGGTGGGATGTCACATCAACTAGAAGAACATGGATCAATCTTTAATTATGCGGTTGAGTGTGAGATCCCACATCAGTTGGAGAGGGGAACGAAGCATTCCTTATCAAGATGTGGAAACCTCTTCCTAGAGTGCTTGAACTCGATCGTTACGTCTATCTAGCTCTTAAACTCGTAAGAGTTGAAAAACCTGTTGATTCTAGAGAAGTCAGTCTTTAATCACAAGGAATGTAGTTGAGTGTGAGATCCTACATCGGTTGGAGAGGGGAATGAAACATTATTTATAAGGGTGTAAAAACCTCTCCCTAGTAGATGTGTTTTAAAACTTTTAGAGGAAGCCCGGAAGGGAAAACCCAAAGAGGATAATATCTACTAGCGGTGAACTTGAGCTGTTACATTGAGTTTGTGTTAATCTTTTGAGTTTGGATGCGCCTCTTCTTACTTCAATAGCAGTGTTGTTGTTCAAATTTGTGCAGTGCAACCTCTGCAACATCTCATGTTGTTCTGGGACAGTTCAAGACTTGTGTGCTTCTGCTGGGAAGTTATTTTGTTTTCAGGTCGGATCCCGGGTTCGTGAGCATTTGTGGGGCGATCACAGCTCTCGGCGGAATGTCTGCTTACACATCCCTTAATCTGCAGCAACAACACGACAACAAGCAACTTCCAAAGCATAACTTGCCGATGCCAATGCCGATGCCGATGCCGATGCCCGAGAACAGCAGCGTTG